ATACATCATCTGAAAGCTGAATAAAAAAGCTTTCCATTGATGTATGGTTTGTTAGGATAGAATAATATTTGGCCAAGATAAAACTATTGGAAAATCTGGAATCTGAGGGTGCAAAAAAAATCTAAATATTGAGAAAATCTCATTTAAAGTTGTCCAAATGATGTTTTTAGCAATGCATATTACTGACCAAAAATTAAGTTGTAATATATTTACAGTAGGAAACTGACTAAATATCTTCATGGAACATGATCTTTACTTAATATCCTAATGATTTTTGGCATAAAAGAAAAATCAATAATTTTGACCCATGCAGTGTATTTTTGGCTATTGCTACAAATATACCCGTGCTACTTATGACTGGTTTTGTGGTCCAGGGTCACAAACTAGCATTTATGTTGATCTTGGTAGAAGTGTACATCACCGGATATTCCACTATGATTCCAGTTTGAAGCGAGCGTATATGTTCCATACAAAGGGCATTAAAGTGTGCGAGACGTGAATTTAAATAGTATTTATTTACAGAGGTATATTATGTCACACTTCTCTAGTAGTACATACACTGTACTACATACAGTAACCATGAAGGAAGATCGGCTTGTTGATGTTTGTCTGCCATTCTCGCTCTGTCTGCACAGCGTGCGTGAACGCGCTGATGACGTATCCTGTCTGTGCGAACAGGGTGCGCAGAGGTATGCAAATACATATGTTGACAGGCAGGTAGGAAAGCCAATTAAAACGCTCGGACCGAGCGTTTTGATTGGACGAACATTTCTTGGTCCTATGCCTTCCACAGAATATATAAATACATTTAGACCACTTAATTTAATGATTGCCATCCAGATGTGAAGAGACTTTCAACCAGCATAACAAAAAATGTTTCTGAAGACAATCACCTATTGCACCTTTAAAATATTACTACATGCGTTTAACACTAATAATAATTTAAGTAATTTAACACATTGATTCAGAATATGTAACGTGAGAAGTGCTTGACAAATCTAACTTGAAAATGTTTCTTTGCAGCATTTTCATATAGGCCTAATGCTAGTTTCAGGGAGATTTTAATTTTTTTTCCCCCATTTCCAAAGCGGTAGCTGACAGTATTTTCAGCCCACTTACTTTATAAATAACTGACAAAAAGCCTGCGTGGTTAAAGTGCTTCTTGTGACCTCTGCATTTTGCTTTCCGTTGTGCTCCATCTAGCAGTTTTTGAATGCAAACACGTGTTCTGGGTGTCTGCCCTCTGAGACATTCTGCGGTCACGTTGGAAAAGATTATAAACAGGGTCTCATCCTCTACTGCTTGTTGCTATAGCAACATACTCTGATGATAGTTTGCTTATATGTAACTTAATGTGTAATGGACTGTGTAATTATATACCACAGTCTTTATAATGGTGAAGCTGATGTCACCATGTGTAGTGGGCAGATTACATATTAAATATGTCTCGCTGATGTACTGGAGGAAATTTTTTTTCGAAAAAAGCTTGTCAGGAAAAGTTCTTAGGTTTCAAAGAATGAAAGAAATACATTTTTTTCTATATTTCCCTTTCTGTGCTTTCTCTGTTTGTTTAATTTATTTCTTTTCTGGCACACTTTTTATTACTGCAGACTACTTAAACTTTTTTACACCCCACCGTGGAGTTTTACACACACACACACACACACACACACACACACACACACACAATTGAAGGATTGAACTGAGATTGCAGCTGTCAGTGAAAGCCCAGCTCTCTTTGACTCTACATTATCGTCCCATAACTGTGTAGTGGTTTTATGAGGTTCGGCCCCACTCTGAAATAGAGGTCACATAAAGGTTTCGCCCATTCCTGATCACACTTGTACATGGGATTGGGCTCTGCTGCCCACAGAGTTCCTGTGAGGATTTAGTGCAAATGTTTTTTTGAGAACTGGATCTGCCCTTTTTGTGACCTTATTCAAACTCCTACCACACCACTTCCAAATATCTTTGAAATACATTGCAAACTTTTGATAATCGTTGACGGCACTGATAGGGACCACCTAAGAAAGGTCAGCAGAGTAGAAATGAAGAATATTGTCATGTCAAATATTTGTGTAGCGTGTGTAAATTATTGAATGAGCCCCATGTTGGTCTTTCCTTCTTTGCAGAAACCACACAGAAACCAAACCTCATAAGTGTCCTCATTGCTCGAAATCATTTGCCAACACAAGCTACCTTGCTCAGCATGTACGAATACACACAGGAGTTAAACCTTACACCTGTAACTACTGCCAGAAGACCTTCAGACAACTCAGTCACTTACAGCAACACCAGAGGTACCAACACCAAGGTTTTCTTTTCTTTTCATTTGTGTTTTTTCATTCATGTTTTCTTTTCATTTGTGTTTGTTACACCTGCATTATTATTCATACAGACAAAGTTTAGTTTCCATTATTTTCTTACTTTGACTTTAACATTTTGTGCCTGTTCAGGATCCACACAGGCATCAGGCCATACAAATGTGCACATCCTGGTTGTGAGAAGTCTTTCACTCAGCTCTCTAACCTACAGGTGATGTAGTCTGTTTCATTAAGTCAATTTTTTAAGTGTTACTTTTATTTAGAATATCAATTCACTGTTTTCTTTAAGGAATAATGAATCCTTCATGTCTTTCAAAACCTGTATGCTATATAAAAGGTGACTGAGTAAAGGATGTGCGCTGTTCAGTATTAAATTTAGAATGCCTTTTATATTCCAATTCAGTTCTTGAATTAGAATTTAATTTAAACTTTAGGGCGCATAATTGCAATTTCAATTTGTGTACAAGAAAGTAGAATTAAGATGAATGAATTGAAATTTAAAGAAATCAATTTTTAAACTATTTTTCACCTGGAAAAGCCAAGTTCTTTGGACAGTTGTTTAAACTTTGAATGTTGGCTTGAATAAGTCTTGTTTGAAAGTTTTGGGGGAAAAGCATAAAAAACATCTTTCAGAAACATTTAAACATCTTGCTGACCCCAAACTTTTAAACAGTAGTATATATAGATAGATAGATAGATAGATCTTTGTCATTCCGATTCAGATTCCAGTTTTACTTCCTGCGGGATGTGGCTAATTCAGTTTATATTAGGGGTGTGCGTGTGCGAGATTTTATCGTGGACGATTAAAATGTCTCCACAATCTGCTTTTGAAGAAATATCATAATATCGCGCTACAGCGTGCATTATATCAGCTGCAGTTCTGGTGCCTCCATCTCAATATACTGTACAATGCGACATACATTCACATCAAGTGTTAAATCAGTGGTAGAGTTACACTCACGGGACACTGCATTTCGCAATCACAAAAGTACATGATTTGCATGTGCAAAAAGCATAAAAAACATCTTTCAGAAACATTTAAACATCTTGCTGACCCCAAACTTTTAAACAGTAGTATATATAGATAGATAGATAGATCTTTGTCATTCCGATTCAGATTCCAGTTTTACTTCCTGCGGGATGTGGCTAATTCAGTTTATATTAGGGGTGTGCGTGTGCGAGATTTTATCGTGGACGATTAAAATGTCTCCACAATCTGCTTTTGAAGAAATATCATAATATCGCGCTACAGCGTGCATTATATCAGCTGCAGTTCTGGTGCCTCCATCTCAATATACTGTACAATGCGACATACATTCACATCAAGTGTTAAATCAGTGGTAGAGTTACACTCACGGGACACTGCATTTCGCAATCACAAAAGTACATGATTTGCATGTGCTTTAAAGCCTTGCCGGTTAAACATTTCATTCACGTGCTGTTCTGACATGCGCTTTTTCTGAGAAGCTGTTTGGTTACACACATTCTTCAAAATAACTTTTATGTTCAACAGAAGAAAGAAACTAATTCAGGTTTAAAACAACTTGAGGGTGAGTAATTCATAACAGAATTTTCATTTTTGTGTGAACTATCACTTTAATGTTAATAAAACAACAAAACACAAAGAGAAACATTTTTATTTTTATATTTGTTCATTCAGTTTCTTGAAAATTAAAGCACTGTTTGTTTCATTATGTGTATTTGTAATTTGTATCTTTGTTCTTATTTTATAATAACAAAGATTTTTATCTTCGCCCACTTTGGCCTAAATGTCTGCCATTCTTTTTTATTTAATATTTTGTCACCTTGTAAGGATTTGTTTTTAAAATAGGGAAATTAGTTTGGCTGTACTGCTCAGAAAACTTGCAAAATAGTAAAACCAAAATGACAAAGAATCGCGATAAAATCGTGAATCTCGATTTTCCTGAAAAAAAAACGTGATGTGATATTTTTTGCCATATCGTCTACCCATAATTTATATTCACAATCATGAATTGAAAGGGAGCCAATTCTTCAATTTTTGAATTTGAAAGAACCCTGCTCCAGCAGTCAAGCAACATTTTCATAGTAAATAGTGACACATATTTTTGCCTGTTCCTCACACTAAACTATTGTACACCTTCAAAACACTTTAAACAAGCACCCAAGTGATATGGGTTGTTTTATGTTGCTTTATGGTGCTGTTTGGAGCTTGACAACCCTTGAACTGTCACTTTATTATTTCTCTCAATCTTTTACAGTCTCATCGGCGTCAGCACAACAAGGACAAACCGTACAAGTGTCACCACTGTAACCGAGGTTATGTAGACGCAGCCAGCCTGGAGGTTCATCTGTCCACTCACACAGTCAAGCACGACAAGCTGTACTCCTGTGGTTTATGCAACCGCACATATACCTCGGTACAAACATCTCACACCATAAATCAGCAGCATTTCCAATGCTTTTTCAAATTGATCCTAATATGTATCTCTCTCTCCGTCTGTAGGAAACATATCTGATGAAGCACATGCGAAAACACGCTCCTGGTATGCTTCCGTCTCCACCCGGATCAAACCAACAAAGTCACAGCCCCAGTCACGCAGGAGGAAGCGGCTCGGATAGAGACGCGCAAAGCCAAGCTGAGAGAAGTAATGCCTTCATCCACCCAGTTGGTTTGCCGTGCATATTCGACTTGAACCAATACAAACCAGTACCTTCTGCAGATGTGCAGTATAAAACTGTCAGTGTATCTGACATCTCCCCTCACAAAGACCTCTGCATCACTGTGGAGGCTTCTGCCATACAGGTGGAACACCTCAACTCATGAGGAATCCCATGGAGCGAGGGATGAAGCTTTGGAGGTTAGAAAAAAACTTTTGCAATTGACGAGATCCACAAAGCGCTGTGGATATAGAATGACTTTTCTTACTTGATACCTTTTTATTTGTATGAAGGAGCAAGTGGATTTAAATGGACAGAAGTGAAGAAAACATACTTTTTTCCCCCCTTTCCATTTTTTAACATGTATTGCTGTAATTCTGATCTTCCTTCCAAAACCTTCCTTGAAGACTTGCTGTTTCAGTGGGTACCCAGCTCATATATCAAGTCTTTTCGTGAAATTTCTGGTTTATCTTGTTTGTATGATGGTCTGCATCTGTAGTTGTTGGTACGATCACTGACTGCACCGTCAACATTCTTATTGTTACTGTCAATAAGAACGGAAATATTGTGTCTGTTTTTGTTTTGTTTTTAAAAAGGGAAATTAGTTTGCAGTCATATACGTAAAACAAAAGCACATTTGGTTATCAGATGTATTGTGTGTGTGAATGAGTAAAGGACAACCGTAAATAGGACAAAAAGATGTGTCAACTAATGTCGATGGCATTTTTATTGGAAAAATTATCCTGTTTAGTATTTCCATTTGCAGATGACATGTAATATTCCATTAATAGAATATATAATATTCTATTGTAAGTACTGTTATACTATCAAAATAACTGTTAACATTAGGGATGCACCGATATGAAAATTTTGGCCGATACCGATAACCGATTATTCTTTATTTTTGAAAGCCGATAACCGATATGTTGGCCGATAAATCTATATCCAAATTGTTATATACTTTTTGAGAGCCTGATTACAAAAAAGGTCTCATCATTAAAAGCCACAAGCTCTGCCTTGGACTTTGTATTTGGCTCGGAGGTGGTCTTATTCGAATAACTCGCTATCTACATAGAAACCGGCTGCATATTGAAACAGCACGTTGGATGACAGTTTTAGACGGCGCAAAACAAACTGATTGCCTGTTTTCTTTTCAGCTTTTCTGAGCTGGCAGATACACCAAAAAAAAAAAAGTGCAAATTTCATCCGATGTCCCCTTTAAATCAGAGCAAGAAGTCTTAATTTCATGAAGTCATGGCATTAAATATTGCATGCACTGCAAAAAAAAATATAATAAATAAATATAT